ATCTACCACACTGTGGCTTAGTCATACAGGATTATTTCAAGTGACTTTGTAACAGAGCTTAGTGTGGGCAAGTCAGTGCCCTCCCAGTTCCCTGGTGAATTGACTTTCACTACTATGATAACCTACCAGATCCTAAGGTCCTTCTGTGCTGTCCTGCCCAGTGGACTTGACAACACAGGTAAAGGGTTAAAACCATCATTCATTCTAGGAACAATATACAGTGGAACCAGGTAGAGGTTCCCTAAAGAGGAACCGGAACCTTGCTCAATATCGAGCTCCCTGAGCTGGGCGCGGTGGTGCACACCTGTCATCCCAGTGGCTGGAGAGGCTGAGACAGGAGGATGGAGAGTTCAAAGCCAGCCCCAGCAACTTAGTAAGGTCCTAAGCAACTCAGTGAGACCCTGTCTCTAAGTAAAATACAAGAAAGAACTGGGGATGTGGCTGGGTGGCGAATGCTCCTGGGTTAAATCCCCAGTACCAAAACAACAAAATCGATATCTACCAATATTTATCTAGATAGACAGATAGATGTAGGCAAGTGCTCTACCCCTAAGCCACATCCCCAGCGCTACTATGATTATCTTTGCTGACAATAAAACATCAATAAATATTTTTAACACAATTATTCATCTAGATACAAATCTACCTCCTAGTAATCATCCAAATTCTGGACCTCCTCTGCGGTCTCTGGAGCGTCATAAGGCTCACTGCAGAAGTTCTGGAGCATATTGGATATAATTATAGACTAAACGATGAATAAACTATCTGTATGCATAGATATACAGAGAGACAGACAGACAGACAGACAGAAAGACAGGGATAGAGCTCCCTGCTGCTGGAGAAATGGGACCAAGAGTGGGCAGCCCCTGAGGATGCCAGGCCCTTCCTGCCCGAGGCTGGAACTCTGAGCTGAATCCTGCTCAGGTCCTGACCCTGTGGTTTCTCTGCCTCTTTGTGTCCAGTCTCCCTCTCAGTCACCCTGGGACAAAGCACAGGTTAGCAGGTCTGGGAGGTGGGGAGAGGTGTGTGCGCGACCCTGAGTGGGGACGTGAAGGGAGGGAGGACAGAGGGTGCGGGAGGCTGGGAAGCAGAGGAGAGAGGTGACGCCCAGGAGCACCAGGAGAGAGGGAGAGAGGGAGAGAGGGCAATGGGAGGAGAAAAACCAGGAAGAAGTAACAAAGGAGAGGTGACCTGAGAAGAGAGAGCAAAGGGGTGGAGAGCGAAGGGGGGGACCAGGGAAGAGGCCAGAGGAGAAGCAGGAGGGGGAGGGGACGTGCAGGGTGGCCGTGCTGTCCCCCTCCCAGGCCCCCCTTGGTGGTGGCAGCCCCGCCCAGGGCCCCTCTGCAGCACATGGACAGTCTTGAGTCACAGCTCGTTGGGGGCTTCCTGTTTTCTGCTTCTCTCTGTGACCCCTGGAGAGGTTTTCCCGCCAGTTAATAAAGCAGAGAGCAAGGTCCCTGTCGCGCCAGCGCCCCACCCTCTGACCCCAGCCACCCGCTGGCCTGATGACCTTCCCAGAGTCCAGCTCTGCCCACCCAGGCTCAGACCTCCTGCCCACTTCTCCAGGGACCCAGCTGTCCCCAGGTTCTTGAGGACTCAGGACCGAAGCTGTGTCCCTTTGACCCGTGGCATCCAGGCCAAGCACTGACCTTACGAAACATAAATGTCCCTGAAACACATTCCCCCCCCCCGCCCTTTCTGAGCGTCCTTCTTTCCCCTTCCAGTCCCCTGCCCCTCCCTGATTATGAGAGGGTCTCACCCGTCTTCTAAATTCCCCCCAGAAACACGGTCTGCATCGCAATGCTCAGGCCTCAGTGTTGTGACTGGGAACAAGACTCACCCTGTCCCCAAGAAGCTCACACTCTAACGGGAGACAGGCTCAGTGGGCCCAGGGACAGGACTGGGCTCTGTGGTGCCCAGGCGCTGTACAACCGCCACGACAGAGACTTAGAATGGACTTTCTCTCTCACCTAACGGCAGAAGCCGCCCAGGGCTGTGGCTCCCAGCCCCCAGGCCCCCTCCATATTATAGACCATCCGTCCTTCAGCCACCAGCCAAGGACGTCTGCATCCCGGCCAGCGGGAAGAGGAAGAGGACACGGAGCCCTCCTTTCCACACCCCTCTTCTGCTCACACCCCATTGTCCAAACAGGGATCACGTGGGTGGTCACGGGTCCCTCGGGTCCCGGTGCTCGGTGGCTATAGAAGTAGGAGATGGACGTGGAGACGATGGGCGTCTGGGAGGCAGCCTCGGGTGCTGTGCTGTCCAGGGAAGCCGAGGGGCAGGAGCCGTTCCGGTCTTTTCCAAAGCCACCAGGGACGGGGATTTAGACAAGGGCTCCCACGAGCTTCCACCTTCCATTCTGGCTCCTCCAACTCCCCCCACCTGACCCCCAGGTGTTGGCTGAAGATGGACAAAGGCAAGATAGATGGAAGAAGGTTCCAGAAAGAAAGGGAAAGGATTGAGAGGGAAGGATGGGTGGAACCAAACCTCTGAAAGCTCTTGGACTTTGGACGCTACTGAGTGCCGCAGCAGGAGGAAGACCCAGGAGCTCCTGCAGGATGCCCACGAGGGGGTCAGAGGTGACCTCTACCAACGCACTTTCTTGGGAAGGGAGGAGTGAGGCTGAAGAGCGAGCCCCTGGTGGGACACGAGGGTGTAGAGACAGCAGAGAGGCAGAGAGGTGAATCACGGGGGGCGAGAAGCAGGACGTAGATCCTCCATCAGGTGGATCCCGGGGGGTGAAGAACCAAGGAAAAGCAAGAGGCTCAAACTACGTGGCAGAAACAGAGTGGCCGCCTTAACCAGGACCAGAGTCACAGTGGCTCAGACAAATCAAAGCTGATTTCTGTGTCCTGTAAGAGTCTGAGCATAACAGTCAAGCACCGAGAGGGGGCTCCACAGAGCTGGGGGCCCAGACACCCTCCATCCGGCTTCTCAGCCATCATCAACACGGGGCTTCCTTCTCAGGGGCCAGGAAGGCTGCTCCTGATCAAACCATCACATCCACATCCCAGCCAGAGCCAAAGAGAAAAAGGGAAAGGGAGGCTTCCCTTCATCTTTGCTCACATCCCATGGGCTCAGTTCTTGTTGGCTGGACTTGGAAACTTGACCGTATCTATACAGGAGACAGGAACAAAGTAATTTAGCTGGGACACCAGGTACCCACTTAAACTTAGGGGTCTTCTTACTAAAGGAAGAGGGAGCGGCCAGCAGTCAGAGGCACCGAAGATCAGAACAAAGAGTAGAGGGACCGAAGCTGAGAGGCGGGAGGAGGGAGTCGGATGTCGGATGAGTGTGATAGGGACAGGAACAGGGAGCCCTGCTGGTCTCCTTTATTTCTCTGCAAAGTGGGACCCCAGCCCTTGCTCTCAGGGGCCAACAGAGGGAAGGCCTGCCAGCCTCTCTCCAAGCTGGCCCCGGGGTTCAGCCCTCCTGGGAGAGCAGCAAGCCCCCACCGCAGGCCTTGAGGTGGCCAAGGAAGAGCTGTGCCCAGGAGCCAGCGCCTCCTTCCCAGCTCTGGGCTCAGCTGCCGTCTGCCTGGGACAAGCCAAGGCATCTCGGATGCACCTCTGCAGAGTGCCCCTGCAGATGCCCAGTCTGCCCGCCTCGCACTGCTGTCGGGAGAGCTGTGAAGTCACTTCTCAGGCTCTGAGGTTGGCCTGCACGGGGGG